TTTCATTGATGGAATGGAAATACGCAATTATAAGCCTCTTAAGAAGTCGTTCAAACAAAACTGTTTTTTTAAGTTTAACTAATGCGGCACAGGGCCAAATAAAGAAGGAAAAATATAAGTGGGAAGATTGTATTGCGTCAATATTCTAAGTCGCGACGACTAAACTGCCTTTTAAATCAGCATTCGAAATGGTGATCTTTGCCTAGGTTTGGACACGAACCGCTGCTGCTGGTAAGAAAGACGGAACGGTCTCATTCACCAAATCCTTCAAGTTAGTCTGGCAAAGGCCCAAATTGCATGGCACCCAATGAGGACAGACTTTACTATACGATGGTTTTATTTATTTATTTTACTGTTGCAATCTTATTTACTAAGCTTAGCTTAAACGAACATAAGGTACACTAGTGAGATATCCGTTGATGAAGTTACTTATTTCTTCTTTATGTGCCGTGTCTCCTCAGGAGGTAGGCGATCTGCACTAATTAATTGGTATATGAAACAAATTTGTTAAATATCGCACGACGGCAGGCATGCGAAAGTTGAAGTCCTTATTGTATATAAGAGTAGTTACAGTTTTTCAAGAAACTTAAAAAAAAAATTAACAATTTTAAGAAGAATGTGATGCTATTGGCAAGAAAAATCCCATGCAAAAAATATTTTAATAGGCGGAAAAAGTAAATAAGAAAGTAAATTTAGTGAAAGACGAAAGAAAAAGACATTATACATATACGCACACATGTATGTATGTATGTATGTATGTATGTATGTATGAGAGTAGATCATCAACTGCGCGTCCTGACATGTAATTGTGTATTTTCATTTAATAATTTAATTGATCAATACCAACCACAAAAATAAATGCGCTGATAAAGGAAGAAAATGAATCTGAGAAATAAATATTTATTGCAGTAAATAAATTATTTTACATTCATAATGACGCAACAGAATTACAGATTCATATGTATGTATGTATGTATGTATGTATGTATATATATATATATATATATATATATATATATATAGTGTAACCCGGATATAAGAGACCCGGATATAAGAGAGATTTTCTCTGGTCCCAAAGTGTTCCCATACTTACCTAAACAAAATAGACCAAACCCGGATATAAGAGAAACCCGGATATAAGAGACTTCTTCTCCGGTCCCGACAACTTTTTTATATCCGGGTTACACTGTATATATATAATGAATACACATATAAAATTTGTCAGCTGATTGATGTTCTTTTTTTTTTTGCTGGAGTTAGTAGATTATCGAACTTGGACAGATTTATGTAAATTATCTAGAATGTTATGATGGCGGTTTGATTCTTTACAGACGTATCTATGGTTATATAGATCTTTTGTGTATGGTTTGTAATAACCGTTATTTAAATCCAAAGTCAGAGTGAGAAAGTTGTTAACTTCTACATTGTTGGTAATAGTTATAGTGGGTTATCAGTTATAGTGAAATGTATGAGTGTTGAGACAGATTAGTTTGATTTGGCCTTGTTAGTTAGATAGCCCACCATAAGAGGGGTATAAAACAAGAAAATCAAATTGTAAAGTGAAACAACAAATTTATATACATATAAATCAATTAAGGTCTTTACAAATAAAATTAATGTATTTTTGTTGATACAAGGTCGTCAAAATGTTCGTAGTAGTTCTTGCAAGAATGAGTTTATGTGTATGTAGACAGGAACGTATGTGTGTATGTATGTATGAGCGTTATAGTAGGGTAGGAATGGCTTTGAAGTAATCGCTCAGTCTTAAAATGTTCCGTTCGTTTATCAAGTATAAAAGAGGTGAGGGAGAAAGGTAGAGATAATAATAACGATCGCTTGATGTTTGTCAAGGGACGTGTTAATACGCTCGTCTCCTTCTCTCTGGTGACAGGCGAACTTGCCCGTCTTTTATTTTGTTTGTGGGGCTTGAAATGGTCATTTGGGAATTCACTCTCGGATATGATTCGGCTCTTTCCATTGGACGACGAACAAACTTCCCGTCGGCTGGAAAAAGGTTCGTAAAAGAATTTGTTTCTGAGAATTGAAGATTATTTGAATTTTGTTTTAAAATGTTTCCTAGTTTTCTATTGGCCGAAAAACATTTCTCATCAAAGTGTGAAATTTCACGAGTTTTGTTTTGGATTTGCTTTTGCGTGTGTTAAGCAAAGTTTGTAAATTCGAGTCTTTTTAGTTTCTAGCAAAATCAATGAGTCAGTGCTTAGCATTTGAATTTTAAATCTAGATCTTGTTTTGTTCACTACATAGTAATATCGAGCTTGTGATTTTTGAATTTTATCAGTTCCTTTTTCAATAGGTCTATATTTCTTGAACTTGTTTTACACCGACATCTCCATAGAGTCTAGTGTTCTAAAAGTCGAAAATAAATCTTAGTCACCACAATAACAAGATTACAACAATTTCACATGCCTCAGCTGATTCATTATACGCCAATAGCAATATAAAAGGCTAGGTTATTTCTTTCGGTCCACAAATAAGAATTATGGACGGATATAGGTTTTTCTTTCTGCTTTATAAATATATAAATCAGGTATTATATTATGTTGTATTGTATTGTATTATATTATATACATATTGAATATTATATACATATATATTGTATATAGATTTTATATTATATGTATATATTATATCAATTTGATATTATATATATATATTAAATATGAATTAGATATAAATTAGATATTACATATATATATGTCAGATATAAAGTAGATATATATTAGATATAAATTGGATATTATGGATATACATAAGATATAAATTTTATATTATATATATATATATATATATATATATATATATATTAGATATAAATTATATTTATATTAATTATAAATTAGATATTGTATATACTTAGTAGTATTAGATATACATATATATATGTATATATATATATATATATATATATTAGAAATAAATTAAATATTATGTATATGAGGTATATATATATTATATATATATTTCATATTATATATTTATATATTAGAAAAAAGTATATATATATTAGTTATATTTCTATATTATATATACATATATTAGATATTTTAGATATATATTATATATATATATATATATCAATTATATATATATATATATATATATATATATATTAGATATAAATTAGTTATTATATATTAGATTTATATATTAGATATATTATATATTAGGTATATATATATTATATATATATTAGGTATTATAAATATATATATTAGAAATTAGATATTATAGGTATATATGAGATTTTAAATTATATATTTTATACATATATATTAAATATAAATTAGATATTACATATATTAAATATAAATTATATATCAGATATAAATTAGATGTATATATTATATATATATGTATTAGATTTTTTATATATGTATTATTTTTATATATATATATATATATATATATATATATATATATATATATATATATAGTGTAACTCGGATATAAGATAGTTGTCGGGACCGGAGAAGCAGTCTCTTATATCCGGGTTTGGTCTATTTTGTTTCGGTAAGTATGGGCTCTAATTTGGGACCAGAGAAAATCTCTCTTATATCCGGGTTTCTCTTATATCCGGTCTCTTATATCCGGGTTACCCTGTATATTATACATATTAGATATTATATATATTATATATATTATATATATATATATTTATGTTATTTATATTATATTATATATATATATATATATATATATATATATATATATATATATATATATATATATATATATATATATATATATATTATCGTTATCCCCTTAGCTACCCGTTCAAATGCAGACGATATATATCTTCATGACCTTGACCTTTTCTTCATTGCATTGTCCCACTCCCTTCTATTTAATATAGCAAGATCATTTAGATTTATAATAATGTCTTTTTAGTTGTTTCGGTATTACTTAGTCTGAATACTGTTTTTGAGCATTTTAAAATTTTTTTTATACTTCTTAGCAACTCTGCAGGCCCAGTTAATGTTATTACACTCTCTTATCATATAACCCGGTGACTTCTCACCGAATGAAAGAGGACTGGTGGGGGGAAGCGAAATGGGTGCACGCTGGTCTTTGTGACCAGGGGCCTAGATGGGTTATGTATTGATTTACATTTTCAAAATGTGGACTTACATGCCAACTTAAATTACATTATCAAGATCTTTTAGCCGATGAGTATCCCTTCCTTTACTTACTTCTGCCTGGTGAAGGCTTTACAGAACCAACCACACTTTTGTCGTTTGTTGTCCTTCTCCTAAACCAGTTACCATCCAAGGCTATAAAACCCAGTCCATAGCTGGAGGGAGAAGAAGAGGATTTACACCTTTCCCAAGGGTATTAGCACTTATGTGAATGTAATGGATTCGACTGAAATTCGAACTCGCCTCTCCAATTCCTCAACCAGAGCCTCTATCCACTACTCCGCCGTATAAGTATGCATTTGTATGTATCTATGTATGCATGTATGTATCGTACATTTCTATCTCTCTTATACGTAGACCAACTCAACTTGCGTGCTAACGATCACATAAATAAGCACATTGTACATGTATACTTCTGTTCTATACTTTCTGAATCTCTTGGTATATAATGTAGGGATTGCTGAAACGTGGCCGGCTCAACGCATTCATCAAGATACGACCAAATATACAAATACCACATTTTGGAAAGGGAGGGGATTTGAGGGTTGTTCTTTTTAATATAGATGAAACTATGTAAATAACTTGGATATTTAAAAATTAGAAACGTAATTCTTGTGAATTAAACATAAGAAAGAGATTTATTTAGTGTTTTTTTTTTTTATCTTCGCTTGGTAAGAGAACACAACGAAGAGAACTGCGCAAGTATGGTGTAGAGTTTTACAGGAATATTTCAAATGGAGAATGCCTGAATATTTTGAAAATCAACATTCTGTGCTTTACTTAGGCTTAACATTTATTCAACATTGGCATCGGTAGCCAATACTTAACTATTTCAACTATAAGCTATGTCAAAGGACTGGGAAGAAATAAAGAAAACTTAACTGGATATTGAGGAAATAAAAGAGAAATAGAGAGAGAAAGAGATAGGGAGAATAAAAAAGGTGGGAGCAGACGAGAATAGATGACCAAATGAAAGGAAACAAAGAGGAAATGAACCAAAATTGAAAGGGAACAAAGAGAAAAATAAGGGGAATATGATATATATATAGAGAGAGAGAGAGAGGGAGAGAGAGATAGAATAAAAGAGAGAAAAGTGAAATCCAAATTATATAAGCTGTAGGACAAAAGAAAGACGGTAAAACACGAACAAAATAAGAAATGTGGAACAAAGTAGGAGATAGAAAAGGGAAAAGAAAGAAAGAAAGGAAAACATAGACATGTAGCAAAATTGTGTGAGAGTGGAAAATGCACTCTCAAAGAAAGACTAAGGGAGAAATAAAATAAAAAGAAATAACGAGAAATTAAAAAGAAGGAAGAGGAAGCGAGAAGAAGGAAGAGTAGATTAAGTGATAAAACGTGACAGAAACGCTGCATTCTCGTAGAAAGATTTCCGGGGATGGAAATGTAACTGGAGTCTAATCGGGTGCCACCAACAGGAATTCGTGAAATGCTTTCTTTTGGTATTCTTTGACAAAAAAGCAGGAGAAAAAGAAAATGTAAAATAAAGAAAGTAAAAACAATGATCAAGAATACGTGTGGCAAATGGCGTACAGACATGTGTACGCCGTAAAATTCAACTCTGTTGCTTTCGACACAGCACCTATCTATTCGTTACTTCCGGTAGATTTATGCAAAAAGGTATTTTGAAGAAAGCAGATAACCTCCACCATAGTTCCTTTTTTTTTTTTTAAATTATATTTCTTATTTTATTACAATTTTTAACATGATTTTTCTTCTTTTTTCATTTCCACCATTTTGCGCGAATTTATTTATTTATGACATTATTTTATGTTCATTTTTTTGTGTTTGTTTCTTTCCATTCTCACCAGCAAGATTTTTTCCGAACGTATATATACGTTTATGTGTAGGGATATTTGGCTATCCTATCAGTTTGTGTGCAGAGACACACCCAATTAATCTTGGAGAGTGAGTAAGAAGTTATCTGTATCTCACGACGGCCTCTGTTTGTGGCGCCCCCTGTTGTAGAGTGATTATTAGCTAGTTAATATGGCACACTATAGTTATTTAACAGTAAAACTATGATAACTAGTTGTCAATCTAGTAGTAAAAAATCATGCAGTCGATGTACCATATTATACCTTAGAACAATTGCCGTAAAATATTTGTAGAAAAAACAAAGGGCAGCTACGTCACTGCGGTGAGAAAGTGACGAAAGTCGAGATGCCAGTTCAGGACCGATAACATTACATACCTTTCTTTGGATTTTGTCAAGAATCTTGTGATATATAGCAGGAGAACTAGACCAGATAGGCCAGTAATATTCAATGCATGGATAGATAGTAAATTTATAAATGTATAAGATGGATTCTGGAGAGACAAAACTATCTAGCACGACACAGTAAACCAATTTTCATTGCAGAAAACTTAGCAATTGATTCAATATAATTACTCCACTACAAGAGACCAAGAAGTTGCAATGAGTTGCTTTCCTGGAGGTTAGCATCAGCCATGCTGATGGAAGATAAAAATCGTCCACGATGATGATTACAAAACAGCAGTTACGTTTTAGTTTTATGGTACCCCAATACGATGACTTTGTTACACGCTAATATAGTGAATAGTTACGCCACTACTGAAGTTTTGTTAATACTAAAATAAATTTAGTAAATATTTATACTTGTCTGTACCTTGCTTGAGTTGTCTGCCGTAAAGCAATTGTTAGCAAGCCAATCTCGCGCACGATTCTTTAATTTTATAAATTCATTTCTCACTAGGACTGTTTGGGTCAGATTAACGCAACTAATCTTAGTAACATCCACTGCTTGATGGTTGAAATGGTTATATGTTTATTCTGGTGTCTCCGATGAGTGTTCACGCAAAGTTAAAAGCTAAGGTTTCTAATATTAATTTTCTAGGGAAGCAAACCCTTTTCTCTTGGGATATCATTACGATAAAATCTTTCTTCTTACAGAACCTCTAGTACAATCGTCTATCTATAAAATCCGCAGCACCAAAATATCTATGTTGCATAGATTAAAAAAAAAATCAGATATGGAGTTGCATTTTAAATTTCTCCTTACAAAGTACGTTTTGGATTTGCCATTTCTCAAAATGTATCCATAAATATATGGGCACGTGGCCGACTGGTTAGAACGTTCGTTTTCTGACCATGGAAGGAGACTGGAGGGGTCGATCCCAGTGTGCGGCACCTTTGGAAAGTGCTTGAAAACCATGCCACGGGTTGACCTAAGCCTTGTGAGTGAAACTGGGTAGACGGTACGAAGCTAGCACGAAGTCACAAGTCATCGTGACCGAGAGTTTGAGCGTACTGGCCTTGTTCAGATTGTTGATCACATTAGATAACGCTCTTTCCCAGAGGCTGTAACTAAGGTCTGCTCAGCATAGTTGCGATATAATCAACAAATGTAAGGTCTGCTCAGCATAGTTGCGATATAATCAACAAATGGGCTCTGTGGTTGTTGAACAAACACAAATGTGCCTGAGAAAGCGTCTGCAATAGGGATTGACTAGCCGCCCTCGTAGACGGTTATCCTCGAATACGAGTGGTCAGCTACATATATATATATATATATATATATATATATATATATATATATAAGTATACTTTCAACATTATATAAACAAGGGTGTATATGATTGCATATAAAATTCCACCTGTTTCAAATAGATTGGTGTAATACGTCCGGAAACGAAACTTGTTTCGTGTCAGTAAGATCTGTCACAATCGTCGTGTGAAAAGCGTAGGTGGTGGCGGAAATCACTTGTCACAAGATCTATCATGGCTGATTCACAACTGGGTTGGTTTAAGTATTCGACGACATTTCTAATAAATTTTCTGTCAACCATCTTAACCACAACCCGTCCTACTTTGATACAACTCGCAATGCCATATTTCTTAATACAAGTGAAAACGGAGTGTTTTTAATGATTGCAACCGAATTTAATTTCTCTTAAGTTTGTTTTGTCCCGTCAACAGTTTTGACCTCGATTCAAAATGAAATAAACAAAGTACAAATAGAGACTGAATAATACTGTGTCGAATGTACTTTTTATTTTCGATATTTAATTTTAATAATGAGATAGAAATGTCTTTTTCCCTACTTAATTAATCGAATAAAAGCATTATGATTTATATGGTGTAGTAAACCTGCTTCAATGTAACATGCACTATTCAAGAGACTGAATATTTTCAAAAACTGAGTTTATAAGCTTAAGCATAAAACCTCCTTTCTAATAAAGTATTTGTGTTATACTATGTTCAATTTTTCTATATTTCTGAGGTCAGTCTGTACAAACGTCATCGAACCAATCTTCAGAAACGCCAAAATACAGATTGACTCTTCTGGGTTTTGTTCGAAATTCAAACAAATATAACCTGAAGACACTCAGAGTGTACAATGGCCGAAACATAAATGCGACAATGAAAGGAGGACAACCGTCCGGACAATGTAAATAGTGTAAATATGTTAAATTTAAATAAAGAATTAAAGGACTTTGACCGTTTATCGGTTACACTATATTAGCGATAAAAAGTCAATCATTTATTTTTTATTAACATATTTTAGTAGCACTGATACAAAAATAAAGACAGGAAATTGTGTAGAATTATGACTATTCAAGTCCTGAAACGATATGGTATATAAAATAGATACAAATGTAGAATAACGCGTGGACACAAAAGTATATGCATTGGTTTTCTGAACAATCATGGCGACCTTTAACATCAAAGTTTAATTTTAATATGAACTTACTGGATTCGTTGAAATTCCACTGGTGTTAACAACTATGATTATGCTTCCCCGTATGCGTTCGTTCGTTCTCTCACCTTTTGCCTGTATCTTCGGATTCTCTCCTTTACTCCTTTTCATATTCGTAGCCTGTCTATGCCTTTATATAAATGTTATACAGACATAGATTAGCTCCATATGCGAAAAAAGGAGTAAAGAATTTACAAATATTATGAATCTGTTCTTTTATCTTTTTCTTTAGCTCTGTCCCGTCATAAGGAATAATAATCTATCGCACATTTTACGCATTTCCACACCGACCTTCCTTTCAGTCTTTCGCTCACTGTCTCTTGATATCACGCATGCAATCTTTACTTGTCTGTCTATTTGTTTCTCCTCTCTCTCTCTCTCTCTCTCTCTCTCTCTCTCTCTCTCTATATATATATATATATATATATATATATATATATATATATATATATATATATTAATTTTATTGATCAACTTTTCCAAGTTACAAATAATCCTTTTCAGACGAAGAGAAATTCCGTCAGAAATTGTACGAAGTTCATTTCGGAATAAAAGTACAGGAAATACGGTCCAAACTTTCGATTTTAAGTTATCAACATAGTAGGTAGAGACAATTGGTGAGTTTCGTAGAGCAAGCAGAGAGTTGTAACATAAGCGAGGTGTGATGTGCCTTTTTTATATATATTTAAGGATGTGGGATCTTAAGTCATAATTGTTTTTATTTATTGATAGTTGTTTTTGTTGCATGAATATTGCTTCAAGGATCATAACTCTGTTTTTACTATTTTATTTTGCTAGTATTTTGGTATTGATTGTGAGTAAATGTATAATGCTACTTTTTAATGTGTAGCCTGAATGACACTCTGGTTCGTAGGTGGAAAGTGAGTCTCTGAGAAAGTGTAGTTGTGTTATATCCTATGTAAGACTTTTTCTTTTTCTTTCTTTTTTTTTTTTTTATAGAGAAACATTATCCGAGTGGGCAAGTATTTATAATCATACGCAACATTGGTTTGTTACTGGCCTGGGGAGACGATTGCAGAGCGCGGCACCATTGAGAAGTAACTGAAAACCATAGAGTAGCTAAAAATTTTCAGGAGCATCCGATGGTTGTGCTAGCATGAATTCACAAGTAATCGTGACCGAGTGTTTGAGCATATTAGGTTTATTCAAGAAGTTGATCACGCCAGATTATGCACTCTCTCCCAAATTCAGATATGCTCGGCATATTTACAGTACAAGTCAAAGGTTGGCCCTGTGGGTGTTGAATAAACAGAAATGTGCTTGTGTAGGTGTTCGCTAGTTACCTTACCACACGGATATACTAGGAAACGTGTAACCAAATATTATACATATTTAGTTTTCTTTCATAATATTTTCTCATAATTTTCCCGTTATCATAGCTGCTATTAATCACTTACACACTATAGGTCAATTTTAATAAATCATATTTGAATAAATTCGTTCTGCCTAAGTGTACTTATATATATAAAAATGCTTGACAACGCTAATATATATATATAGCGTTGTCAAGCATTTTTTGCTCGAAGTAATCTAGTCGCTGAGCACTTTACTTACTGAGTAGGTAGGTGTTTGCTTTTAGGATTTTTCCTTATTGCTATCCTTGTTCGAAATATGTGTGTGCGTGTTCAGGAATATCAATTTGTGACCGAGTACGACCACTATTTACACCAATTTATTTTTACTCCACTATTCCTTGATGTTTTCTTTAGTGACCCTTGTGCCATGTAAGAGATTTGCATTTCAAATCGCATGTGAGATTAGCACTAAATCATGCTCACTTGGATATGTCTAATTATA